TACTAGGAGAAAAACGATGGTTATATGAAAGCACAATAGAGATTATTCAGAGAAATACAGAGGAAATGTATTTTATATTCCATGACTGGTAAATTTTCATACATTATTTTTCATACACAGTTAACAGAATAGAGATATATACATATATACACATAATATATTATTCTGTTATTCAATAGAGTTTGTCATTTTATTAATTTAATTATGAGTACAACAAATAGTCGAGTATTTTAATTTAATAATCTTCTTACAACAATTAGACAAATATTGTTTCGATGAGGGGGAGTAACATTGCACGTCATAGAATCAGTAAAATTCTTATGAAATTCCATACTAAATAAAAAGAAAATAGAGTAGACTGTAACTGTTAAATGTGATTTTAAATATCTCTCTCTAGTATAATATTAATTAAATATATGAAATGTATGTATTTACTATGATATTTGTTAGAATAATTAAAACTAAGTGTAAAATAAGAAACATAGATTTATATATAAAATTTTCAATAGATATATTATTTTAATTTGCTAGAATTATCTTTAACTAGTTAAGTAATAAATAGAGTTTTAAACTTATACGATACTTATTTAAAACTCGGCTATTTTGGTTTCGAATGCAGTTTCTTGAACAATTTTTGGGAATTTCTTTTAAAAGAACTAAACTCTGTGTTGGGTTCTGGCACATACACTCTCAATAAAGCAGAATATAATTCACGTAATTTTTAGTGTTTTCATCTCAAACCCATAGATATGTGCCGAACTCTAATGCAGAAAGTCTAATAATTCTCTTAGAAAACATTCCGAAAAATTGTTTAAAAAATAGTATCCTAAACCAGAATATCTCCATTGGCATCAACGTAATATTTACATTCATCTAAATATCTATTTTTCTACATTCTGCTGATCTTCTTTAATTTGTAAAACATTATGTTAAAAACCTGTCGAATTATTTATATCTCATCAACGCGAAGTTCTATTCTTCAGCAAATTTATAGCAATAATAACTTAATATGTATTATAAAACATAAAGCTTATATTAACATTTTATTGTATTATATGTTAGACAATAGAAAGAATATGTAATTTAGTCAAATAAAGTATCAACTGTACACGAAAAACTTTAAGAATTTTTGAATTCATGAGAAGTTCACATTTTAATGTGCTTTTTGAAAAACTAAATTATATGAACACGTAAATGTACTTACAGTTTGCCATGTATTGCTTGATCAGTTTTATAGTGAAACTGAATTATAATTTGATTCGCTGCTAGAATGTGTCGTACTTTTTGTAGTTACGAAGAATGGATTAGTCAAATTACTGTGAAAGCTATTAGAATTAATGCATATTCAATTTAGTGTTCGAGAAGGAGAAAGAGAATGTTAATGTGTATCACATCAGGTTCTAAGAACATTTGAGTCGTTTATAGTCAAATTTAGCTCACTTATCATTAATGCATACTTGGAAGGGGGCACAGAAAAAGGAGGGGTCAGAATCGTAAAAGTATATTCAGCATTCAGCAGCTTGTACTTGAGAAAATTACTCATCGTCAAGTCGTCAGGCCGCTCAGTTCGCTCCCGGCTCCGGTACGTATGTGTACAATCATCACGTGAGTAATTCCGATTGCACGACGGTAACACATCTCATTATTTCCATAAACATACACCTAACATATAATGTTAAGTAACTAATTTAGCAGTATCATTGGTTTTATGAAATAAGGAATGTTATTTAATTGAAACATTTTCATAATAGGTTCAATCATATATTAAGGAACAGAGGAGTAATAATTTTCGCCAGGAAATCATTTTCTACTGTGCGGGAACAGGTGAAGATGGTAAAAGCAAAGAGATTTGTGGTGCAGAAACATTTCCAAGGCGAACCGAAAACAACGGATTTAAAACTTGTTCAAGAGGACATACCACCTCTTCACAATGGAGGTAAACATTCGATATTTTATGTATAATTATACATTCATTTATTCGTATAACGCGCATATATCGTACAATACCGCGTGATCTGCGATCGATCGTACGATACCGATCATGCGAGTCACACTTTGGATCCCGATTTCGTAGTTTTCGCTTTATTTTATTTATATCTCTGTTTTCTCTGACTTCGTAAATACAATTGCAGCGCAACGATATCGCGCTGACAGTAAAATGTTGTGCACGTTTTATGAAGTATCATCGTTTGTACGATAACGTTATCAGTATTACATTTTTCTCGGACATATTTTATCTGTTGTATTTAATGATTTCATGTCTACAATATAAAGAGATATTTATATTATGTAACCATAGTTATTAATTACGAAGTCGTCAACTTCGTATAGGATTCATGCTGCTCATTCCTGCGTTTAATATATAATAACAATAGTTAAATGTTTCCGTCGCTTAATGATAGTGTTCGATTATTTTTAGAATATCTGGTTGAAGCAGAGTATCTTTCTGTGGACCCTTACATGCGACCTTACGTCCAGAGATACCCAGAGGGTATAACAATGATCGGCTCGCAGGTAGCAAAAATCATTGAGTCCAGAAATCCAGAATATCCAGTTGGGAAAAGAATTGTTGGCTACCTGGGATGGAGAACGCACACAGTTGTAAATCCACAGATATCCAGTAGTAGCGATGATACATTTGCCTTTGAGAAACCGTATATCTTACCTGACATAGGAGATCTCTCCCCATCGTTATTTTTAGGAGTATTAGGAATGCCAGGGTAATTATTACTATTGGATCGCGTATTTTATTGTTTCGATTAAATGTTGCAACTTCAGTAAGCACTATACGTATACTTTTTTATTCCAGAAATACAGCATATTTTGGTTTTCTAGAAATTTGCCAGCCGAAACAGGGTGAAACACTTGTTATAAGCGGTGCCGCCGGAGCTGTTGGTTCACATGTTGGCCAGATAGCAAAAAATGTTTGCGGACTGACTGTGATCGGCATTGCCGGATCGGACGAGAAATGCAAATGGCTGGTAGACGAGCTTGGTTTCGATCATGCTATTAATTACAAGAAGGGTGATATCGCGACTAGTTTGAGGGTTGCCGCGCCGAAGGGAGTCGATTGCTATTTCGATAATGTAGGTCCTACAATAAAATCAAACAGCGCTTACAATTGACGTTAATATACTTAAATATTTATATTATGATTGCAGGTGGGAGGAGATATTTCAAGTGTAGTTTTGTATCAAATGAAACCTTTTGGTCGCGTATCCGTGTGCGGGAGTATTTCTTCGTACAATGCGGATGCTTCATCACTACCAAAAACCGCGATCATTCAGCCGACAATGGTGTTCAATCAATTGAAAATGGAAGGTTTCATAGTACACCGCTGGATGAGTCGTATGTCCGAGGGAGTAGAGAAGAATCTCCAATGGATAAAGGAGGGAAAACTTCGCTATCGCGAGACTGTAACGAACGGTTTCGAAAATATGTTCGACGCGTTTGTTGGCATGTTAAACGGAAAAAATATTGGCAAAGCTATCGTCAAAGTTTAAATGAATAATATAATTTGTTTATAAAACATCGATATTAACAATAATAGAATATGTATTTTAATAAATGTGACGTGTAATTGTCATCGACAGAGTTTTATTGCAATATATTACACAGATCATAATGTATCACAATAAATAATTACATTTGGTTTTTCAATACCCGAAGGCATGATCCTTAAACCTTAGGTACATATCTTTAGGAATCGTAACGTTACGTCTAATACAACCTTACACGATACCTTACAGAAAATTTCGCAAACTTACATCCATTTCTAATTACAATATGATACATCGGTTTAGCTGGAAATTGCGCCAAAGCTTCTGGTGATTGATAAAAAATTAGGAAACAAATTTGTTGAAATTCGTGATGAGGTTTCGCATATATATATTTTTCATGACTTCGATATAATGCACAGAAACGAATAAGATAGATCACAATCATTTTTCATTGTGCAACAAGCATACGTACATATATTTGAATTCAATTTACGCAATGATATTATTTCTTCACGAATAAAACGTATGTACAAAGATAATCGCGAAAGTTCATCGACTTTTTTTTCTTCTATCGCAATTTCCTCGTTCGTGCACATTACCCTCTGTGCAGCTGCCTAAAGATTACTTTAGCTTAATAAATACGAGGCACGAATAAAATCGAGGTGCAACCACAGCCAGAATAACTCCTAATAAATAATGCGAAACGAATGACTCAGTTTTTAATTAAATCAGATTGAAGAACTTTCATAATTCAACGTAATTGTAGTATAATTAAATAATTTATGGAATTCTTAAAGTTACGCTTTACCATTTTAAATCTTCTTTATAAGTTTAAGTGATTTGGTTCAAATCAGTTGTCATAATTCTTTCGTGATTCTCATCGTGCTTTGCATTTTTATATATTTATCTTACATCTTCCGATGTGAAGAGTGAAATTACATCTACGGTCTACACAAAGATGAGTTCCACCCTTAAAAAAAGGAAACGTCGTCGCAATCGTTAAATACAAAGTGTCACGGTTGAATGATCGGAGATCAACCGAAAACTGGATCAGGTCAGAGAACGGACCTCAGGATACACACAGGAAAATCGTCTCCTCGCATCTCGACGCTACGATTCAATGCTATCGAGATTCAGAAGAATTTTCGAAGCCACCCTTTTCGATTCTCAGTTGTATACTCATTCTACGTATCGATGTATCAAACGTTTTTAATTACCCCTTAAGTGTAGTTACCTTTGAAAAATAGGATATTACCCAAACATTTTGATTTCATTTAAAACTTTAATTACAGCTTGGTCGAAGTTCGAATTATTTTTTGCCATTTATGTAGCTGTAGTTGTCAGCTACAAATAAGGTCGTATGCAATTTCTCCATTAAAATTGTTTTTATTTTAAAACGTCAAAATGATGTCAAAATCTAGCAGCATCAATGCCAAATTGAGTATTGAAAAAAAAAACAGATTTATTACTGTTTTTTATTATTTTCCCCCTAAAAGAAAATAACACAGGTCGGAGCTAGCCAGGAATCATCGTTCCAAGCTGTACGAGCTCCGTGATTGTTCAATGATTTCGCTAATTATTTACGAATCTCAAATATGTATAATATATTTAGGGTCCGAAGAATAATAAAACTTCGTTGTTCACCACTGAGCGATACTTTCATTCTTTCGTCGTTCCTTTGTGAATCCTGAATCGTGAGTGACGGTCATGTTCGATCAAACGGATGTATTCCCATCGGCGTCTCCGTTAAAATTTCATCACGTGACGTTGATCTCCTCGTCCTCTTCGTTTTCCGTCTGCTCCTCCGGCCGTTGAGGGCTCGTTAATGGACTCACATCGCTCAGGTCTATTCTCGGCCTGTCTCCATCCGCGTCGCTCAAGTCAGGATTCGGATTGTTCTTATTCGGCAACGTTTGCTCCCGAGATCCACCGGTGGCCAGCAGCTCTCTCTCCTTACTGTTCCTCCATTTCATTCGACGATTTTGGAACCAGATCTTCACCTGCGAACAGTAAGAGATTGTACATTGAGTACTGATAGAAAATTTCTGGTTTCAAATCGACTATCGGATAGACACCTAGAATTTTGTTCCGATCCGAATAACGTCGACTGAATGAATTCCTCGCACGCGCTCCCCCTTGGCTCTTAACGAGCATTAAACAAGGATCAAGCTCTGGAACTGAACGTTCCCCTTTCCGTTAACGTATCAGTGATTTCAATCCCGTATTTCATTTCGATTATCCAATGAGATCATTAAAATCTTGTTAACCCAGTAATTAATGATTTTTTTGTCACCAGATATTTAACAAACTTTGTGCGAATAGAGATTGCCATAATTTGCACGAATAAGGTGAGTAATAACCATCTTTGAATAATCACCGAGGAACCTAACGATCGAACGTTTTTCCCATTCCTCTCATACATAAAAATCTTCGTATACGAGCGCCCGCGCACCCTCCGCGATGAGGGTGGCCGAGAAGGGCGCGTCATTTTCGTATATTAAAGACCATGTATTACCGAACCGTTGAACGGGCCAACGTCAAACGCACATGAACTCTGAAAATTTACCCCTTAACCACCCACCCTCATCCCTTTTCCAGCCAAGCTTCGCCTCTTCTCCTTCGCGCTACCCTTCGCTCCTCCGGCACGTTTGTTGTTTCACGTTCACCAGTTTATTATAGCCTTAAGCTACTACGTCGAACCGTTGACCTCGGACCGCGGATTGATTTATCTAAACTGCTCCCCGAATTTTCATTGGTCGTCGGTCTGCGGGTGCACTTGACACCTTGCCGGACCCCAGAGCTTTTCCTCGGCTCGCCTTCGGGGCCAATAAGGCGTTGGACCTTGTACGGAATCGATTTTACAGTTTTCACTTCTGCCTCGGAGGGAGGATTCCGGTAATAGATTTTTTTTCTCAACGAGTTCCGAGTGACCAAGTTTTATTGATATCTCGAGGAGCAGAGAATGAAATATGTTGTAAGAAGTTGAAACGTTACGAAAGATTCCGAATAGAAACTATTTAAGAGTCATTATGTTTGTCATTCGCGCAATACATACACATTAAACTGAGACTCATTAGTAGATATATTATCGCAGCCATGATAATCTCCAAATTGACTGTCATAAAAAAAAGCGATAGTTCTTATCACCGACTGTCGAGTATTACACAGCAAACATTGATTACTTATAATATTCGATAATGAATCAGGTATACATATACTTATAAAAGTTATCTGAGGTCATTCGGTGATTACAAATTATTATATTAGGTCAGTGCGAAAGTTTCCAATAGTGTCAGATCTGGTTGTACTTCGGCGTAGATGTTTGTTTTAACATTTAGTGACAAATTTTTCGAATAAGTGTCAGACATTGATTGTGCATAAGAGTGGTTTTTCAATATGAATAAAGTGATTTCTAAATTTATTTTCGTTACTTTATACAAGTTTTGAGAGATCCTTACGTTGAAATTGTAACAGAGACATTCTGTTCGTACATCTGCACTCACCGAGGTCAATTCAAGATTACTTACACAACGATAACTAAATAATCCATAACTTCATCGAATACCGCTGTGCGAAGGTAGATAATCAGATAACGGCAATCAGGCTGAAATTCGAAAGCTTATCGGGGCTTAATAGCTGGTCATCGTTAATTGCAAAATAATAATCCCCTGCTTAGAACTGCAGCGTGAAATAGAACGGCATGCACTGAGATTATTAACACGATTTATACTATTTATAGTCGGCTGTTATTTAACGAGACGTACTATATTTATGAACGACTTTGCACAGAATATCAACAATTTTCGAAACGCGTTCAACAACGTTGTCTGCGCTTGACATCCACGTCATTATTAATATTGCTCGACCCGTGCGGCGGCGGGCCGCGCCGCGCCGAGTAGCGGGAAATTAATAAAAAGTTTATTAATATATCTTTAATATCTCGTGAAGCATTTTATGGAAAATTTTATGTTTCGCGTGCACGCTCGCTCACGGACGTGTTGCGTGCAACTGACACTGCGATACGTAAACAAATTCAGTACGTCAATGCAACGTACTCGTTACTTGCTATTTTTCAATTTTCACTATCTCTGCTTGCAGTGCTTCTCCCATATTTTTAAACAAGATAATACATTTTGTAACTTTTACATTAATTTCGGTTGTTACGTTGCTAACGAGCTGATTCGAACAATTTCATCCGTGTCTGTGCTCGCAATCGATCACTTTTCGATCGGACATCAATCACGCGTACATTGCATTACGGTGCAACTTATCGGTCGGAGGAAAGAAAATAGTAAGACGTTACGGGAAGGAAACTAGACACCAAATATTAGAACGATAAGTTGGATTCAGAATCACGCGATAGAGCGGTAAACAAATTAGATTATATCGCTTATCACTTATCGCGGCTCATTATCAGAAACAAATGAACGTAGAATTGGAATAAGTGCGGAAAACGCGAATTAGAGGTGACATGGTTAAACGAACACAGGGGAGGCGAGAAAATTACACGGATCTGCCGGGGATTAATTTACCTAAATTGTTTTCGTATTTTCATTTGCCGGCGCGTGTGCACTTGACACTACGCAGAACCCTAACGATCCGACGTGTTAATATGCTCTTTAGCAGTAGGGTAGACCGGCAGCGAATTCTCAATACTGTCACTGTCCGATTTGTGTCACGGAAAAATCCCCTACCGTAATACGATTGCGCTTGCTAGACAGTCGTTTATATCCAACGAGAACTTTGATGAAAAATAGAAGGAATACTGAGGTAAATGTAAAAATTTTCGTTCACGCCACAATTTCTACTCACTGACTTATTTTTCTATAAATTGAGGGCAATATTTCAAAATATCAGAAAAAGTAGAGAAATTGAAACATTTACTTTAGTTTTTTGCTTAAACTAAATGAAGTGCTTAAAAGTGAAATGATGCATAAGTTTGAAAATTAATATAGATGATTCTAGACAAGATTATAAAAAATTGTACGAAGGTTTTCATAACGTTTCAATAATCGATAGATGTGGGTTAGTTTTTTTGTTAACGTGGCCATTTATTTTTCGATAACCGATTTGCTAACCGGCTAAATTTCGCGGAAAATTTCACAACGTTGATCGGTTTGACAGCGACGATCCAAAGCGAAAATTTTATTTAAAAATTCTCCTCTTTCCTCCTGCACGGTTTCCGGCTTTTTCTGGTATTTTTTTTTCTTGTTTAACTCGATTGATTAAATTGGTTTATAATTCGATGATTTACTGTTCGTTTAAATTAAAATTTCGCGGAGATAATCGGAAACTAGGTACGCGCTTGCGAAATAAAACGCGAAATTGTCGTTTTTTTCATTTGGAAGTGTAAATTCGGAAAATCGGATAAAATAGAAGCTCGAACGTTCGTGTGGGTATACTCGTTTCGAAACCGTCCCAAGAAATCCGACGGTTCCAGTGAACGAAAAAGATTAGAGAAGATTTAATACTGAACTCAAGACGTTGCTCGCTTAGGGGTGAACACTCCATCGGAGGATGCTTGAAAATCAAAGCCTAAAGGGGTCGTTTCACAAAAAGGAATCAAAAAAGGGAATTCAAATAATCCCATCGATCTCTTTTTATCTCAACTACTTCTATCAGGTGTCTATAGTCTATACTACTATGCAAAACCATAATGATATTTAACAGACACATTTGTTTTATTATAATTTTTATAATAAATTTACGTAATATCAGACACTGAAGGAATTTCATCGGCATTGGGATGAATGTTTAGCGACCGGAAATTGCGGAATACATTCCAGGGAAATCAAGGATTTCGTACTTCCGTTCGTCGCCCCTCGGCAATCCTTCTTCTCCTTTTCGTTTTACGTTTTCCGAGTGGCGACGATGATTGATTGTCCCGTCAGTGGCAGACAGCTTCGGGAACTGTATAACAGAAGTAACAAAACGGCTCCACGTCCGCCGAAAAAGACGCGGAGCTTTTCGGAGTAGTTGAATCGTTTCGTTTTTCGTTATTCACACTTTACTACTTGTTTCATACGTAGCACTGTATTTAGCCAAACGTTCGATAGTTGTTACAGTTCTCACGCATTCCGTAATAAGTTGTAATCCTGTCTAACAATGTGCACAATAAAACAGTTTATCGAATCGCAGTAATTGAAATTACCATGAATAATTATCGCGCCAATAATGATTTACGATAATTCAAATCGTAATGAATCCGAACGGTTGAACTCGATGCAATAATTTCTCTGATCGTTTGACTAACTCCCCGTTTCAATTCACCCTTCTCTATAGAATCTTGTTTGATCGTCCACTTATTGACTGCTCGCTGCTACGCATTCGCGCGTTCCTTTTACCAACCCCGTAAATCGTAAATGATCCCGGACTCGATTAAACGTGTTGCCGGCACCTATAGAAGTTCAATATCCACGGTGTCAAGAACGCCATAAACTCACGCTCCTACCAATAAAAGAATATTTCTTTCCACCTTACTTCTAAATCATCCCCAGTGGTTCCGGGGAACTAAGAAGAATAAGGGAACAGCCAGAAGAGGAACGACTCGAGGAAAGGCTCGGAGGTTGCTATTAAAAAGGAAGCCGGAAATGTTTCACAGGCGGGCCTCGGGTTAAGGATCGTGGCGAAGGATCCGTAGGAAAGGATCGGGCATAACGACGACATCCGAAAGAGACGCGTTCTATAGAGTGGGTAATCGTTAAACGATTGGCTGCAACCAGCCAAGCCGGTCTCTCCTTTCGCCAAACCACCCTCTAACCCTCTCTTGTTCCCTGAAATTTCTCCTCCGTTCCGCTCCCTTCCTCGCGGCCACGCGACCGCCCTTACTTCCGCCTCTGCCCACCTACGACCACCACCCACACCTCCACCTCCGGCACCCTCTTTATCTCCCTGCGACTCACCCCGTCCCTCCTTCGTACACCCCCCGTATATATACCAAGTACGATAGGGTAGTATCGTGCGCGGCGGCGACGCCATCTGGCGCAGTTTAATAAAAGAC